TGCTGTCCTCTAGTGGTTGTCTGGAGTTTTGCAACCCAGATTTGGTAGCCCTAACAAAATAAATTGCAAGGAAAAGGGGAAACTTTATGACAACAGCTCTCAAAGTATGGTCTCAGGACCCCTGGGGGTCCCCAAGACCCTTTCAGGGGATCCGCAAAGTGAAATAAATAAATATTTTAAAATCTCTCAGTTTTAATTTTTAATGCAATAAGTTTCGATAGACATAACCTACATAAACCAAAACTCTTTGGGGTCCTCCATTATTTTTAAGAATCCTGAGACCAAAATGTCTGAGAACTGCTGCTCCATGATAACACTGCAAAGAGATATGGTGTCAAATTTCTCTTCACTGGTGTTCTCCAACCAAAAGTCCATCACTTGCTGAGTGAGTTGAAAGCCCCACTGATGTCTCATTTTACAATATACCTATTTAAATTTGCAGATAGCACATGGAATCTGATAAAGATATAGCAAAGGCCAAAAAGTTGCTAAACAATAGAAAATAAACATGCTAAATTCACTTATTAGGAAAGAGCTGATGGGCAAGCAGAATATCGGGGGCGGGAGGGAGGCAAATGGCCATGACTGCACAATCAAAGCCCCAGTTCTTAACATATGTACATGCAGAATGCATGTAAAAAAAGGTGTGGGGCTTTGATTGTGCAGGTGCTGATGCCATTTTGCAACTCACCCCATGGATATCCCTGAGGACTAGTGTGATTAAAGAATTTTTCAGAATTTCAATTAAAAAAAAAAAAAGCTTTAGAAGCAGCAAACAGAGAATTATGAATCAGTCTGAATATTCTTCAGAGAGGAAAGAAGAGGCTCGGGAAGCCTCACTAAATAAATTTTCAGCTCAGCCCAGGTAGTTTGAGCCAAAAGGAAGCTGCGTGCAGTGTCCAATCCAGAGTTGTCTCCATTCAACTGAGAAAAAAAATTAAAATAACTTCATCTCTATTTAATAGAGAATCAGGTAGAACATAACAGGGGCTGGAAAAACTCTGATTAGAAAAGCTTCTGGCAAAGGTTCAGTCAGCTTGCTGAAAACATATTAAGGCCAGTACCAACCATGCAATCTTGAATTCTGAGCCCTTTGGAATTTGGACTGATTCTGTACTCTTTTTGAGTTAGCACTGCTATTTGTGTTGTGTTGCTATGTCAAGTCCATCAGATCCATTAATTGCTGCTTGAGAAAAGTATAGGAAAGTTTATAATATACTTACTCAGTAGTGTTGCCATCAGTTGGAGGAGTGTTTAAAGCCATGAAGACGCAGTTGACGAGAACAACAAATGTTATAAATGCAATAAACAAAGTAAACAATGTTAAGGAAACTATCTTCCTTTGAAGAGGAAAAAAAAATTAGCTCGTTCAATTATTTGTTAATGTAGCAAAAAGTGGTTGTTCTACAATTGTATTCTTAAATCAAGGGAAGCATTTCAAAAAATAGGATAATGTGGTCATTCTAGTTTGTTCTCTACTGTTATGAGCCTCAGTCCAACACTGAGGTTCATAACAGTAGAGAACAAACTAGAATGACCACATTATCCTATTTTTTGAAATGCTTCCTTTGATTTAAGAATACAATTGTAAAACAACCACTTTTTGCTACAAGCAGGATTCCGTGGATTCCAAGTTCAGCTCTTCAGAGTGGGAGCAAACTTCACTCAAGCTTTCTATCTTGAATTATCATACTCCAAATAACTATAATACATATGCCTACCTTATACTCAATGCTTCAAGTTCATGAGAGATTTTGGGAGTATATCACAAATTTAGAATGTGCATTTATTTATTTAATATATTAATTCCTGTGCCAGAGCATCTCAAAGCAGTTTCCATTTCCATTACTTTATGTCCAGCTGAATTCAGTCTCCTAAGTAACTTAACAGAAACTCAGTTCTAAAGTGAAACATTTGGAGCATAGCATTATAGGCTAATATAACCCAATTTTCAGCATCAAGGATAGCTTCATTATAAATCCAACCTACCTAATTCTGATTATCAAGAGGAGAGCTGTGGAACACAAGTATTTGGAATGAATCAAACATGTGAATGCAACCAAAAATGATCCAAAGTTGCTGGGTTCACACAAGAAATCTATCCTAAATTTAATAAAACACAATTGTTGCTATGATTGCTACTAACCAGTATGACGCACTATGCAACTGGTTTTGTCCTTACTGGGACTCATCAAGCACAGGTACGGTAGTCTCCATGTGGTCAAATATTTGGGTTTGAGCATATGGAGTTAGTAGCAATTACAGCATCTCTTAAAAGTAGATAAGCCCCCTTTAAGTGGGGATGTAACAGACCTCTAGTATGAGACCCAGTGACTCTCTAGTCTGAGAGTGCATAGAAAAGAAAGCAAGGCCACTGTAGCACCTAAAAACACAGTTGCTGTCTTCACATATCATGCGAAATCCAACCAATAAACAGTATTATGGCATATCATGATGGTCTCATTCACAAAATATGATGGGACAATGACTAGATTTCCATGATACACTGAACTATAAACTATCCAACCCCAGTTTATTATGCTATGTGAATCCAACCTACACTTGTATATATGTGAAAGGAGCTAACCTTCCATTACTAGTAACCATATTAATTCCCATATTCACACTAGAAGGATATACATGTATTAAAATTTTTATGGCTAGTCTTCTCAGTGGGTGGAAAGGGCTAAATAAAAATAAAGACTTGGAGGCAGTAAATCGAAAGATTCTGCTGTGGGATGTCAGCACCATAAATGTCTGTAAAATATAGGTGAATTCTTCATAAATATCATATGCTGTTTAGAAGAGATTTTAAGAACATTTTAAATATTATTTATTTAAATGGTTCTAACAACCGCACTCTCAATCTGGAGTCCTTATGTTGGACTGCAACTCCCAGGATTTCCAAATCTCAACAGATCTTAAGGATATCAGGTTAGGAAGACTGAAATACTTCTACCAATATAAATCCAATACAACTTTGCACATATTGACATGGAGGAATGCCACACTACCAATGTTAGCAATTACAGAATTATATCTGTTATACAGAAGGTCAGCAAATCCTATCCTTATCACTGCAATAATGAGACACATAAAAAACAGAAAACCCTGAGGTAGGCTTTCACTGAGGCTTAAGTTAGCTGGCAAAACTAGCCCGTTTCCATGTTTTGTTTTTCCCACAGCAGATAGCAACTGTGAAATTTCCAATTTGGATCAATATTTTTAACCCTTTTCTTCTGTACCATTTTTCTGGCTCTAATTTCTATACACTTCCCAAGCTGCTGTTTTCTGTAGACCAACCTCAGGAAATCCAGTTCTTGATTTTCCAACTCATAATTTTCTTTTTGAAATAAGAAAGGGCAGGATAAGTGCCTTTGAGGATATTATTATGATGTGACATTATGATACAATTGAAAGAAGACTGGAGATAGACTATGTTGCGCAGACGTTTGGGGACAAAAACAGGGAATACTGTGGAGAAGTGCATAGTAAAACAGGATAAGCAATAATGAACTTTTGAGCAATAACAGATTTTAATAGATCCCAATTAATCCTCGTATACTTCTAGGTTTAGGCATTTATCATATAATTGCTTGTCCTGTTTCATTTAAAGTATAATCCCCCAATGTTTTCCAGTGCTTCTTCAACTTTTTATTTTCTGCAAGGGCACTTTCACCACCCCAGCATTTCTATCTTCCAGTATCTCATGGAGCAGTTTGAAGGAAACCCACAATCTTTTCCATTTCTGACAACTTTGAAATTCAGAGAAGACTCTGAATCAATTTGTACTCATCTTCTTTCTCTCAGCTGACCAATAAGAGGCTATGGAGAACATTACCTAACAGTGTCCCAGCCTCTGAGCTACCACAGGTCCTGGATTAACAAAAATCCCCTCAAATTTACATTAAAATAAAATAAAGCAGAATGATTGTTACTCCACATATCTCGGTTTCCTTATTATCTGTGAAATTCAGATATTTTCACAGACCATACAAGTTCCAATCCACAGATTAGCTCAAGTGTACCTCTAACTGCAGCTGACTGCCAACAATTATTTCCAACAACGTTGATAAAGTATATACTTTCTACTTGAGACTCAGAGACATATTTCACAATTCAGTTGTGCTCATCCAGTCATGAACACTGACCCATTTATGTTTTCAGCTCTTTTAAAAATCCTATTTTGAGTACCTCAAGATTCTACTGTAATTTAGTTTTAATCTTATAAAAGCATTTTATACCAAAAATAATAATTTTTTTTAAATGTATGACCTCATGATCCCTGTAATACGGGTCAACATCCTCCAATGGTTCTCCAATGAGCCAGGGAGGGGGTTTTCCATAAAGAATAGGCAGCTTTTTAAAATTTTTCAGATCAAGTTGTGGTTGAATATTTTCTTCTTGTGGTTCATCACTGCCCTTTTCCAAGACTTTGGAGCGCTTTGCTTCCTTCTTAGCAATTCGCTTTTTAATTGCATCCAAGGATTCAGGAGTGAAACGGAGGAAATTATTAGCCGTTGAAAAAGAAAAATTTGGCATATTTCTGCACTGGGACTGCAAAAGGGAACAAACAAATGTTCTGATTACAAGAGAAATACAGCTGATAATTAGAGTCATATCATCCAAATGAATTTATATACCACAGCATCAGGAAAATTACACATATGGCAAACAGTATTTGATTATTTTATTTTCATCACAAAGCCATGAATGTTATTTACTCTGAATGTTCACAGTATATCTTTCCACTCAATATTTGGAAACATATAAATCTAACCTAAGAGAACAATAAGATAGACCTTTCTGTTCTCTCAAGACCACAGAAAAACTCATGACTAAGCTGGTCATTTTCAGCTGAACCCATTATTAAGAGAAATCCAGAGATTCTGTCAATTCATGAGTTAGTCAAATTCTGGTTAACTAGACCATACCAACCAAATATAGCCAACCCCTTAATTATGAGGGCCAAACTAAACAATAGCCTAGCAGTTAGACAGATGTTTATTGCCCTATTCACATATATCATAGGCAGCCAGTTTGGTGTAGAACTTAATGGCTGGCCTAGAAACCAGGAGACTGTGAGTTCTAGGCCTCCCTTAGCCATGAAAGACGGCTGGGTATCTTTGGGCCAGTCCCTCTCTTTCAGCCCAGCCCACCGCATAGGGCAGTTGTCGTGGGGAAAATAGGAGTCAGTAGTATTAGGTATATTCACTGCCTATACGTGGAATAAAAATCTAATAATAATAATAATATATATATATTTAAAGATAATATTTCTCAATTTTACATATGTGAAGTTTACTGCCTTCTTAGTTTGGTTCGCATAACAAAAGTGGAGAAGAGGAGAAAAATGGATGCATAAAAATCAAGGAGATAAATATAGGGAGCAAGAAGCAGTAAGGAGGTGGGCAAATAAGGTTGGGAAACTTTCATTTCTCTCAGAAACACACATTAAAAGCACTGATTTGAAATTTTACCCTGTTTTTAAAACAGAAAATTTATCCTAAATCAATTTAGATATGAATACATATTTTTGTTTCTAGTTTAAATGTTAATAGCATTTGTGATAATCATTTTATATAATTTTTATTACTACAAATCTTCTTAGGAAAGTCTATTGAGTGAATATTCAATACAACAACAACAATAGACACAAAGCATAAATAAGGTCTTGAAAAACTTATTTTTATGACAAGTAAAAATATCCTGTTGACTAAAAGCACAAAATGAAAGTGGGACCAAAGTATATGAGAGACATTTTGCAATTAAATTGAAAAAGATGGCACAGATACATAGTGACCCTTATAAAGGCTAATTTTAATCCTTCAGTGGTCAAACAATCACAACACTCAGAGGGTGAAAACAGTGTTATCTCTCCCACCATGGCAAGGTAACACTGAAGAAATTATTCTCTTTCCCCTCTGCAGCTTCAGTGAACACCCAAGACCCACCCCAGAGGGAAGGGATCTTTGAAACAGATTTGAAAGAATATGGTACTAAAGCAAGGAGAAGGAAAACTAGATTTTTCCAAGAACTGTAAATGAGCCAAAATGTTACGCAAACTATAGAACAAAACCATAGCAAGCCGATAATACTACACACAATATTAACATACAACATCAATTCTTGTCAAACAAGAACCACAGTTTTAGGGCCCATTTAGATCTATAGATTCCGTAATATTCTAAATTCTAATATATCAGCAACTGAAACCATAAACAACTAGCAGAATTTATAAACATATCCCATCAATCTGCATGTAAGGTAGTGTAGGAGGCCTGAAAATACACAATTAATAACTTCATATTGCTTAGAATCCTACATCAGATATCCCATGTAACCTTTAAAAAGAGTCAGCATTCCTAAAATGTTACAGTCAGCTGTGCATATTTTATACACTTTTCTTGCTTAAAAGAATTGCTGAAAATATGAAGGCACTTCTCTCATTGTTTCACATAATTTCACAATTCAGAAATGTTTAATGCCATGATAAATACTTCTTTCTGCTTAATAGCATCCAGACTCACTTAATCTTATTGCAGACTTTTTTCATCCAGTTAATTCTTTCCAAAGGAGCAAATACTCTGCTTTATCAGATTGAATAACAATGGTGTTTCTTTCTTGCTGTTTCTTGTTCTGGAAAGAGTTGATTCTGTGGGCTTCTGGTAGAATGGGGATGTGAAGAAGCAATGCATGTTTTAAGGTTGAAAGAAACAAATGAGATTTCAGGAGATATCACAGGAAATAAATTAATGTGGGGAAATAAATGGAGATGGTGATTGTCAACATTTAAGTAGAAATGTGTTATTTCACGACTGTAGAAGCATTGTGAAGCTAATAACACAAAAAGGTTTTGCTCATCAGAACCAAGAGAAAAGGGCAATTAGGCAAAATTGTTTCTTGCAGTCTCTTAAATTGCAGTACTGAGTGAGCCAGCAAGTCTCTTTCATATGCTTTATTTCCAGTGCCATACTGACTAATTTGATAGTAATTGAATTGAATACAGTATGTGATTCTGCCCACTGAAACTTCCCTTTCACTATAGAAAGACGATTGGTCTGAAAGCTCTAGGATAACTTAAAGTATAGCCAGATTTTAAAATGTTACCATTTCCTCTGATTCCTTATGCAGTACTGAATGTATATCAGAGGGTATCCAGTTTAGCCTATACAGCTTTTCCTATTACGGTAGGGGGATAGAGCTGGATATACTGTAGTGTGATAAATCTAGCCATTATTTGCAAAGTATAAACTCAGTCAGATTTCTACACCCTGAGAACCCCCAGATGTTTGGACTTCAGCTGCCACAATTCCCCAGCCAGTCAGTCCTTTGCTGAGAGTTCTGGGACTGAAGCACACAGGTCTGGAAAGTGCATAAGATGGGGGACGCTGAACAAAAAGACTAGGTTAGAAGTATTATTATAAGATATTTATTTATTTATTTATTTATTTATTTATTTTTATTTATTAAATTTGTCCCCCGCCCATCTCCCCCCAA